TGGGTATTTTGGGTGCTCGGCTGCAGCTAGTTTCTGCAGGGTGGAGGCTCTGCTGCGTGGGGTGAGGTGCATTTTGAGGTGTGTGGGGGCACATGCCCCCGCTATCCCATGACAGGCTGGGAAGGTGCTGGTGCCGCAGAGCCTCCCCTGGGAGGAAGCGGGCTGCAAGCTGCAGGGCCTGGCCATGCTCGGCAGATGTGAGGCTGCCAGCAGGAGCCCCAGCAGCCCAAAATGTCTTTAATTTGCATCAGGGTCTGTCCTAAGAACAGCTCGAGAGCTCAGCTGCAGCGGCGGCAGGACCGCACTTCCAAACGCGGACAAACAAAGAGCAGGACCCAGTGCTCGGCGAGCCGGCAGCGAGCGTGACTCATGCAGCAAGCTGTGCCAGGCTTGCACGGGGCAAGAACCCCCCTCGACCTGGCTTGGGGGCTGTCCTGCCCCACGGCCCTGGGGGTCTTTGGTGGCCCTGTCTCGGTGCCCTCCTGCAGTGTGGAACCCCCTGGAGCCTCCTCCTGACCTGTACGGCATTTCCTGAGTGCTGCCGGCCCTGCGTCGAGGGCAGTACTGCCAGGACGCAGCAGGCAGCTCTTCGCTGACTCCTTTTTTCCTTGCTTGTGCCCTTCCCACACCCCAGAGGTCCTGGAGGAAGATACGAGCACAGCTCTTTGCTGCCAGCCCCTCCGGCGTGGCCCGCATGGAGAAGTTCGATGTGCGGGATGACGGCTCGGCGCTGGAGAAGACCTCTCTGCGGCGGTGTGCCCGCCGGGTGATCCGCCTCTCCGACTGCGTCTCTGTGGGCCCGGCGGGCACCGAGAGCTGTCCCAAAGCCACGGCCGCCTTCTACCTCAACACCACGGAGAAGAGTTATGTGCTGGCGGCCGAGCAGCGGGACGAGTGGATCGCCCAGCTCTGCCAGCTGGCCTTCCAGGTACTGTGGGGTTCCGCACAGCTGGGACCGCTCCTGCTGCTCCTGGCCCCCGTTTGCTGGGTGGTTCCAGGATGTGTGGGCAGGCAGGGCGACTCGTTCTCCCCTGGTCCAGGGGTCATGCTCACATTCCTCTGTTTCAGGACGCAAAGGAGGCAGCACAGAGCAGCACCAGGACCCAGCCCAGCCCTGCTGTCCCCATGGAGG